TTGTTATTTATATATATATATATATATATATTATCAATGTACATAATCCAGATAATGTCTCAAAGTAGACAAAATACTAGTATATCAATAAAAAGGAAACCAATTTCAGGAGAAAAAAAATAGTATGCTAAAGTAGAGGGTAGAAAATGAGAGACTTATATTAATATTTTTCTCACAAAATTAAATGGAGAAAAACTTAATAATATTCATTTTAATATAACGATTTATTTATTCTCAGGTCTGTCAATCCTAATTGACGAACTAGTCTATATACATTAATTAGTTACTAATAGAATTTGACATAATTTCTAAATAGTTGGGTTATGGCCAACATCTCATTATTCTAAACGGTAAAAAGACCTTTTAAAGAGAAGTTATACTAACTTTGATAATATTTTTTTTCTTAATAGAAATTCATTTTTATTTATTGAATTAATGAAGATTATCTTTGATGTAAAAAGGAAAAAAAAAAATCTGTTATATACCTTGCATTACAATTTTTTTAGCAGAGACTACGATTATCACCCAAAGAAAATGATTCTATTTGAGTCAGAATTATTCTGAAAGGAAAATTTTCACCTAAGTATTTATCATATTTTGCATATTCAATTTTTTTTTGGCTATATGTTTTAGGGAATTATTAACTTATTTTGATATGTCAATATCCTTATTGTTGTTGTTTTCTATTTTTAATGAAATTTCAAATAGAGTTATATTTTTTGTCATTATAAATAAGCGGATTTATTTTTTTGCTTTTGTAAAAAGATTTTATTTTTCATCTCTATAAATTATATAATCAATTTCTTTAAACAAATGTAAAGTCACCACTTAAAATAAATATTATTTATTTTAAATAATTGTTATAAAAATGATTTTAAATTTTAAAAAAATAAAAATTATATATATATATATATTTATTTATTTACTTTATAATAATAAAAACATATTTACCAACAAAGTTCTATACAATTATATGATAATAATTTTTTTAAAATATGTTGACTAAACATGTCAATTAAACTCGCACTCGCGAGCACTCATCCGAGTTTGACCTTATTTTGACAGAAAAAAACTTGTTTTGAGTAAATATGGATTTTTATCAACTTGAAAAATCAGGTTGGCTAACTCTCCACTTTGCACCCGTATCCATATTCATTCCCTCGCATTTTTATTTTTTTTACATTTTTTTTACACCAAAGAAATATATATAATATAAATTAAAGTTAAGTTTTTAATTTTTAATTTAAAAATAAATTATTTTAGTAATTAAAATTATAACAATAATTAAGTTAAAAATTTAAAATGATCCATTTAATTAAAAGTATAATATAATTTTTAAAATTTATATTTATAAGCTTTTTCTTATTTATTATTATTTTCATATATTATTTATATTATCAACTCCTAAAAGTTAATAAAATAATATTGAACCCATTTTATATGGATGGAGGATCCACAGGTGATTGTGATGTTGGTACAAATGTAAATTACATTGTTCCAGTTGCTTAAATAATAACACGGGTTAGCAGTGCATAGCACGTTCCCATATTTATCCATCTTTCATGTTTCCACTTTCCACGCTCTTTCTTTCCAAACTAATTCAGTTTTTCTATTCTAAATTACTTTTTTTTTCCAGCTGACGTAACTAGTTTTATCGTCCAACATCAAATTCCAACGCACAAATTTTTATATTTTTTAAAGTTTTTATTGGATGAAAAAATTTTAAGATTTTTTTTAATTTTTTTTAATCTAATTTAATTTTTATTTACTATAATTATTTATAAATTAAATTAATATTTTTAAATAAATTATTAATAAATAAAAATAATATTT